TTATTGCCAAATCCTTCTTATTTTCATTTTCCAGCATCTGATGAAAATAAGGATAACGATGAATATATATATTACAATGAAGAAGAAGAAAATGATGATAATGAGGATGACGGTGATGAGGATGACGGTAATGAGGATGATGGCGATGAGAATAATGGTGCTGAAAATAATGGTAGTGAAGATGAAGGCGATTATAATGAAGAAGAAGATGATGATGATAATGGAGATGATGAGGAGGAGGAGGAGGATATAGAAGAATTTTTTTCATCTCCTGAAATTGGTAATGATGAAGTATTTGTGATGGAAAGTTTAAATGATTCTATAGAAACTGAAATTATTTTATGGGTATTCAAATTTCAACAAAGATTTAGACTTCCAGATATAGCACTTGAAGTATTAATAAAATTCTTACATATTGTACTTACTCGTTTAGATAAATCACAATTTAAAAATTTTCCAGTATCCTTATATCTTTCAAAAAAAATGTTAAATATCTTTCAACCAAAAATGCAGTTAGCTGTATGCAACAATTGTCATAAATTGTATAATGTTAGAAATATTGTTGAATACAAAGAAGAAGGAAAAGCTGCTATTGCAAATTGCCTACATGAAGAATTCCCAGATAATCCAGTACCTAGTCGTCTTAATAAATGCAACAATCCACTTTCTATTCTTAAAAAAAGAAAGGGTGAAATAATTGCTGTACCTCGTATGATTTATCCTAAACCAAGTATTCGTCAGCAATTAAGTATGTTATACCAACTACCTGGGTTTGAAGATATGCTGGAATTATCAGGAATTCAAAGAGGAGGGGTTAATACCTATTCAGATATTTATGATGGTAAGGTATGGAAAACTTTCCCATTTAATGGTGATACCTTCTTTACACCAGAAACTGCAACAACACACCTAGGCCTTCTCTTTAATCTTGATTGGTTTCAACCTTTCACCTATACTCAACACAGTGCTAGTGCTATTTACGTGTCTATCTGTAATCTTCTGAGAACAGAAAGGAATAATTATCAGATCCGTGTTAGAGCATTTCACATACCTGAAATTCCAAAATAGTTTTAGAGGGATTGATAATTATAATATTGCATCACCTCAGCCGTGGAATTCACCATGTCCTATTTGCGATAGAAAACATGGGAATTATGGATTACATGGCGAATGGTATGGAACAGAATATTGTCTTACTTGCTTCACTTCAAGCAATAAATTCAAATTCGTAATTGTAGCCACATGATGACATTGCTACATCGTGGCAAATGGCAGATCAATAGTAAAGATATTATTCCGCAGTATGAACAAAAATATGTATTTTTTTATTTACAATCAATAAAGCTAAGAAACATTAAGCGCAATATATTTACATGTCAATATCTAGTATGTGTTGAGGAGAGTGTGGGATTGTGTTTTTATGCTAATATTTCTCAATCAGTTTTTCATCTGTGGATCGATACTTGCAGTATCATTTAAAAAACGTCACCATGTATCACGGGAACAAGTCATTACCACTATATAATTTATTCTTGAAACTTCCCGCATATACTCAAACTTTTACATGCATTAATAATAAAAAAGATCTTTTTGTTGATCCAGGGACACGATCCCAGTGTCTATTATAATTTTAAGGAGTATCCGTTGATCTGATTTTCGTGATGAATCATAATAACGTAATTTCCCCAAAGATTTATTCCAAAAATCGATCTTTAAATGCACCACAAATCTTATAAAAAGGTGAGGCTTTATTTAGTGAATCCTTTTATTCGTCTTGTGCAAGTAAAGCAAAAAAATATCAAAACAAACATTCAAACTTACCACTATTAATAACAACAATATCAACAATCAAACGAGTATATTTCGCAAAATAATAGCGAAGTTGATTTCTTGGCTTAAAAATCGTTATCATGATGTTAATCATTTTTCCTGGCTCTATAGATGCTCAAAGATAAAGCGAACATATTGATATTCGCCGAGAAAATCGTGATCATTGTCATGTGTCTAATCAGCGCAATATTAATTTCAGTCACCAGATTTTAGTCACATGCTGAGATACAGTGCGCAGACGCAAATAAAATTTTCTGGCAATGGCATCCGAATTCTTGATGCTTGGCGCAGTATTATTCTAGCGATAAAAAAACTGAAACACCTTTATTATAACGCATAAAGTAACAAATTTCTTGAATATGAGGCGGAATGGAATGTTGTGAAAATGAAGTACAATGGTAAGTGTGTATTTCTTTTAATGGGAAATAATCTTTTACATAAGCGTAGATATGGGTAGGATTATTTATTTCGAACTGAAAATCTATGGGGCTGAGAATCTTGTAGTTTAGAAACAAATTTATCTGTAGAAATTATTCTGAGAGCAAAGAAATAATGTGGTACGGAACTTGCATTAAATCGCCTAGGATCTGTGTACTCTCTCCCTCTTTGATAGCATCATACATTTCATTCGCTACCTTTACTTTTTTACTGAAAAATTAATAAAGTTTCACAGCTTATAAATTTTGATCATATATGATATGTGCTATTAATAACAATAAATAATTTTTTTTTTCTTGACATAAGATAAGAAAAAGGCTGACGACCACCAAGAAATAACTTGGATGTCTTCTGACTCATAACTTCACTGCCAAGGTCTGGAACAGACATGAAGTTATGGCTTCTTCAAGGTAACATATACCAAGGGAAACACTCACCGCCAGGGCCTGGAACAGACGTGAGTGATTTCAGCAAAGTCATTGGATCAACTGTCGCCGCCAAGGCCTTGAACAGACACGAACAGTTGTTAGTCGTCAAACAACTCATAACTTCACCGCCAAGGTCTGGAACAGACATAAAGTTATGGCTTCTCCAAAGTAATATATACCTAAGGTTGCTTGCCGAAACCTAGGGGTTTAGGCAAGATGGTGTTTCACCGAAAAGCAAAATTCTGCCAAAACTATATTAAAGTTATATTAAAAAACTAGCGAAACTTTGGAGAAAGATGAAACTGCCAAAACTTATTATAAATGCCGAAACTGCCAAAACTCTGCCGAAACTATAATAAATCTATAGTAAAATTTTGATAAAACTAATCGTAGAATTTTGAAGAGGTTTAGACAAGCAACTTTACATATACCAAGGAAAACACTCACCACCAGGACCTGGAACAGACGTGAGTGATTTCAGCAAAGTCATTGGATCAACTGTCGCCGCCAAGGCCTGGAACAGACACGAACAGTTGTTTCCACCTAAGTACTATGAGATATAAACGCACAGGGTATAAAGCTCCGTCCTATCTAAAGTTCCAAACGGGTCAGTTCGGTTCGGTTTTTTTGCGGTTCGGGTAGAACCAAAAACCGAAATGGAACCGAACCGGAACCGTCCGGTTCGGTTCAGTTCTATCTGAAATTAAGAAAAATGCGAAAAAATGAATACACGACCATCCAGTGATCGTACAAGGACGAGCCATAGCTCGTTGGAATCCTCTCATCGAGACGCGTCGAATGGTGGTAAAATCAAGTCTCTAACATCGATACATCACGAGATAGCCCATGGTGAGTGTTTCTTAAAAAATTTGTATTAGAAAACGATCCATTGATGCTAGAGACATGAATTTACCACCATTCGACGCATCTCAACGAGACGAATCTAATGAGCTATAATTCGTCTTTTTGCAATCACTGGATGGTCGTGTATTCATTTTTTCGCATTTTTTTTTAAATTTTTGA